CACTGGTCTCCACTTGCCCCACGCCCTGTTGTCATCTCATCAGCAGTCTCCGTTTGCCCTATGCCCTGTCTTTCATCTCCTTGCTGCCTGCGGTGCCATTGCCTCCGCCACACCTCCTTTGCTACAAATGGTGCCGACTCTACAAAATGCGACCGTGGCTGCCAGGACTCTTCCCTCACATCCTTTCTTGTCATATCTGCTGGCTCATGCACTATCATTGCTGCCATGCTCAAAGCAGTCAGTCTACAATTTACTACTGCTATTACAACACTGTTGCAGCCCATCAGAGTATCTGAAAAAGGTGTACCCACAGAACTTTGTGTATACAGCCCGAAGGATAATGTAGTGCTTCCTGACAATACAGTTGTGTTTGCCTACACCCGGGTGTATATTTCTGTTAAAGGTATTGCCCCTTGCTCCTTCTTCTTCACTCATGCTAACATGTGATAGGCCCTGCTCTTCTCAATGCCATCCAGATTTATCCTTTTCCCAGCGACCCTTCTGACAATGACTACGACGGCAACCTCCCCGAGATCCTGCCTTGCCTTTTTGCTACTGGCATTGTCCGCTCTGTGCACGATGTCACTGCTATTGACAACAACAAGCGTGTCATGCTGGAGGTTTCAGATTGCATGCAAGATGGAAAGAAGGGTTTTACCTTCGAGTATGTTGTGCTTTCTGCTTCTCCTCTGAGCCTGTCTCATCATTATATAAGGGCCAAATTTACTGGTGCCACCCCCTGGTGGAATCGTGTTCCACTTCCTAGCTTGCAATCAAATGCACAGATTGTCAGTATTTTGTGCAAAGACCGCTGTTCTGATGGCATGGTGACCATTGAGGCTGAATCACTCACATTCAATGCACTCCCTGCCAGTGTGCCCACTTAAGGTGCTGGACCTCTCCTGTGACACCTCCAGCCAAGAAGAGGAAGTACAATGCATACATTGCTTCTGGGTGAGTGACTTTAGTGTTCGTGGTATTGCTTTGTCTGATCCTACTTCTCAGGACCTTTCTGTTGTCCTCCACTGCAAGTACTTCATCGCTTGCAGGCCCATCAGGTTCTTCTCAGTCAACATTACCTGAACCTGGATCTGCTGCTGGTGAAGTGTCCCCGGCTGAGCAACAAGAGCCTGTCGCAATGCTCTCTAGTGGTTCTATGGAAGACACAACTGCTTTCAGTGCAAAGGCTGCTGGCAAAAGAAAGGCCAGACAGTAATTCTTCTATTTCTTGCCACATATATTTCTGTTATTGTCTGTCTGTGTATTCATAAAGAAATATTAATGCCCTTATTTCTGTCATGCTGTATGTGTGTTTAGCCACTGTGCGACTAATGAAAGCTGTTTTGCATTTGCCTTCTACCAGCATACGCTCTCTATGGACAACGGCCATGCTTTCTTTGGAACTTGCCTGTTCATGTACATATTGGGTACTGTTTGGCTGCACATGTCCTTGCTTACGGGCTCCTCTTAACTACAACTTCTCCATTGACTATCACCTTATGTACATAACTACTGTCTTATTATGCCACTATTTGTGGTCTATGTTATATCTTGCTCACTGTCATGCTCTCTACGTTGTACTGCGCAAGCTCTCTGCAGCTTTATTTGGTCTCTTTTGCCTCCATCTCTGTTGTGCTATTCACTTCCATGCTGACCCACCTTTAGCATTGGCTATGTAGGTGAAGTTGTCATCTCCAAGGTGAGTAATCATTTCACTCGCCTAATTGTCATACTGACATTCAGAACAGAGTTTCATGCTAGTGCTGAGCACAACAGAAGCAAACTACTCTATGATGACTGGCCCTCAATGAATGTCTTGTTGTTGATCGTGCACAGCCTTTGTAAATCCGCTGATACTGCTGTGCAAATGATACCTTGGACTCATTTGCATGTGAGCCATGTGCCACCTATCCCACAGTCTGCTCGGACAAGCATGCTGCATTCATCACCAAATCTGAGGAGGAAAGCCCTCACTATTCCAGTTGTCAACAGCTGACAGCGCGCAGTAAGCATCATCTTTTACAGCTTCCCAGATACCTGTAATTATGCTTACACTAATTGGGTCTCAGGTTTCGATTGCAACAGGATGCTACAAATGTCTGCAACACTATTAAGACATTGTCCGCAGCAATTTTTGTCCATGACCGTCATCTCACTAGTTGAAAGGTGCGTGCATTGAAGTTGCTATACTTTTAGCAGGGTATTAACACATTCTCTATAACTGCCTCTTATTAGCAATGTCAAGAACTTGGGATGTCACTCGATTGCCTTCAGTTCAGCTATCTTAGGGGGGTCGTGGTCAACGAGCACACCACTGTCACCATTGTAACATTCTGCTTCTCACAGGCAAAAAAATTGGCTTTTGTTGTGGTCCTAACGGTGCATATATAAACAATTTTCACCCTCTTCCTCCTCTTCCGCACAAATTTGATGTATTTTTGAAGGACCCACAAATATCTGAGTTGAGTCACATTCTCAACTCCATCTTTTCCTTTGTGTCTATGGAAACTACTGCTCAGTTTCCTGATACAGGAGGTGATTATGGATTCATCACTATTCAAGGCAAGGTCTAACACTGAGTTCGACCCAACCATGCAAACTCGGCTGTATGATGGATATTGTACAATGGATTTTTGGCAGTGAAAGTGCCTCGCAATGATGACCACGCTTGTCATCTACCACCACCTTGGATACGAGCTATGCAGCTTGCCTTGCTGCAGTGTAACCCTTTCACTCTGTATTTTTGGGTTCTAAGCCAAATTCCTCCTCAGCTCTGTTCCAATGCTCGTGTTATCATTGAAGGCACAGGCATAGCTCTCGAAATTGCCGCTTTCATATCCTACGACAATACCGCTTAGGCAGAGGTTTGCTCACGTTGACTCATCATCACCTGCACTGGTGAAAGCAATCACGCCATACCAACTGTGAGCCAACTGTGGGAACCACTTGCTTACCCTCTGTTTTTCCCCTCCGGTATGCTAGGGTGGGGAACAGTAGGTGATAAAGATCAGGTCTGCCGTGGTACCCCTCATCCTGCTGATAGTGTGCCTCCAATCCATGAGAGCACCACTCAGATCTGGTACTACCATGCTCTACTCCTTCGTGAAGAGTGTTTTTCTTTGTTTGGCCACTTAACAAATGAATATCTTGTTGACATGTTCACACGAAACCTGGAGTATTGCCTGAAGTACATTCACAACAACCAACAGTGTCATGACCGAGGATGCAGAGCTAATGGGTGTTGATGCTGTTGAACCAACCCAGAACATTCATCTTCCCTCCTTCCTTGGCTCCAATTGCTGAGCATCTGAACAGATTGTGGATTCACTTGCAATTGCTGTGCATATGGCTCACCAACATTTTTCATCACTATGATGTGCAATCCACATGGCCTGAAATCCATTACAGCTTCACTGGGACAGAGTTTCACTCAATTC